TGTTTTCATTCTGCATAGTTTGTGTGCGGATTTCATTTGTGAGGAGCTGCAATTGAACTGAATTGACTTGCCTCAGGTGCTTTTTTGGAGAAAAAGTACAGTGCCTCACTTCATTCACACCACCATGCGACAATGAGGTATCTCGAACATATAGGGATCGCAATTTCTGCTGCTCAAGGGCATGTCTGGAACAAAACTTTGGAAATGTTAGCATGTAACCTTTTATGGCATTTCGAGGGGTGAGGCTACATTTGTGGGATTTTTGCAAACTTTTAAAAGGGAAATGAAATAGACAAAACGAGTAAAAAATAAAAATGGTGAACTTTTTTGGGGATGGAGGGAGATTCTCCAATTTGGGCAATTCCAAATAGTGTGCTAACAGTTTGCAACGCGGTGGCTACTGTACGCAATGCACATTTGAATGGGTCGACACATCCAGACATCTCAACCAGCAATGGGCATTTGGAAACGGTCGACACATTTTGTGCATTGTGATTGGCCAACATGTTGTAAACTCTCGGTGGCGCACAATTGTGAAATACCAGTCTTGCTCCCCTTGGATCCGCTCTTGGTGCTGCTTAGATCAGGAGATGCTACTACATGTATGTGAGCTGAATCACTGATGCTGCAACAAAGTACTTGATCCTGTAATACTCGTCAAATTTTTGCTCTGCAGTTGCTGTATATATTAATCCATTTTGAGATTTATTTTATTTCTGAAATGTCTTTTCGTCACTTTTCCAATAAAAAATGTACTTTGATTCAAATGAAACTAACTAATATAAGGTGTAATTATAACCTTTTGATAGCAATCATGAAATGAAAGGAAATGCATGATTTGTAGGAGATATTCTTTTGCCAAAAATGATGAGGTAGGTACCCCATTAAACTGCAAGAAAAGAGGAAAAAGATAGATAGAATTCAGTCATGCACTCAGAATTGATGATTTGAATTGCACTGAAAGTTTCCTTGTGTATTGCATAATGTTATTTAGCGGGACAGTTAAACAAAGGGGGGCTTTATCATTGAAGAATGAAGAGAATTTTAATGCACATTTAAAGAGAACAGGAAGCTCTGACACTGCGTGAATCGAGTGATTCTTTGACAAACTGAATATTGTGCAAAAAGCCAGCAGCAGGTGGAAACCGGCTACAGGTTACAAGACAATGGAAAATGTGTTTCACTCTGAAACCGTGAAATGGATGGCCCACCCATTGCCAAAAGTAGCAAGGGCATTATGGTTACAGAGATATATTTGGCCGGTTAAAGTGCTAGTAAGCTTATCTAGCTTATTTTGGTTAATTCTTTAGTCTTCAACCATTTGTAAGCCTATTTGTAATAAATCTGTTTTGTACTGACTGGCCTTTTCCCTAAAATTAATTTTTTGTTGGGCTTGATTTCTTAGCTGTGATGAGAGTGGAATTCTGCTCATTTCCATTTTGTGATTACAGTGCTTTAGACCAGCTTGCTCACCAGTACACTCACATTGATGCATTTCCCCTCCTAAAGCAGCAGTGGGTTCCTAAGCTAAGCCCTGATTGGTCAAAAGTTGCATATCATCAGCATATAAAACTGGTTGGTCAACTTTCTTTTCTTTGATTGGTCAAACTATGAATAATTAATGCCCTAATCCTTCTCAGAATCCAAGCTATCCGCCCTGAGCAGAAGCACCCCCCATCGGTTTAAAAGAGCCATGTTGGTCGGAAGTGCTCATTGTGTTGGCAGCAATGCAACTGCTGTGCTTATATATCATAGTCGTTCGTGAACCGGCTATGCACAGTTAGTACCAAAGCAATGATGTCTCACTAATGTACCCACATTGCATGCATTGAGCTATGTTCATGTAATCATTTTCCTGTATTCTGATTGGCCTGGCAGATGGGGTACTTAGTAATGCTGTGTATATTGTGCTGACATTATAATGAAAATAATCTCTATCCACTAATGTTTTTCCTTTTTTTTCTAATATTACAGAGGTTTTGATAAAATGATGTTTTATTTGTGTTTTTTCTTTGATGTGTAGTGTACATCGAGAACACAATACAAATGAACGACGGACGATAATCATGTAAATGTTATTTTTACATGCTAGAAAACTCCAACGAGCTATTTTTAAGTAGTATCAATAAGTTAAAAGTACTGAACATACATCATTTTTTAAGTGCAGAGTTGGAAAGACTGGAGGCCTTGTCTAATTTTCAGAATAAATTATTAAGAAGCAACCGCATAGGAAAATTGTATTTCGTAATGTGTTCCTGTGGTTTGTTCTCGCATATTTATTTTTTAGCATATGTGGCATTATCAGATACATTGAATGGTGTTGGTGTGTGGAGAATGCTAGATTTTTTTTCACTTTCAAATGTAGCACAAGATTAAGACCACTTTACTTTCTCTCGTCCCCCTTTTCTTACACTTTCAATTCAATTCAACATTCAATTGTTTTACATTATCATCAGAGCCATGAGTTCCCAAGGCAGTCAGACCATGGAGGAAGGAACACATGTTCCTTCCTCCATGGTCAGACAAAATGATTTAAGTACAGTGTATATATACGGACGTTTCTACAAAATGAAGGAAACTAGAGCATATGCAAATTTTGAAGGCGGTCGGAGCACTGAAGGGATCTGATTGGTTCATCAACAGATGTGGCAGGCAATTCTTTTGTACCTCGGCATCTTCAGGTGTGGCCGGTGTGCATATCATTTAAAAGCACAAAAAGATGGAATGTGCATTTGGGCGCGGATAGGCTTGCACAGATAGAGTGAGGTGTTGCACGTGCTTGCGGTGTGCGGGACTCCATTTTCAACACAGCAGCCCGCGGCTGGAAGTAAAACCACGTGAACATTTGCCTTGTTCTTGGCAGCCATCTTGAGCAAATGTCACCTTCATTCAAGTTGCTGTTGACAAGAACTTGCCGAATTTATTCTCCCAGCAACGTTTCTCCATCTTACGTTCAAACTACAGTCGACAAGTGTTACGTGGCTGTTTATGTAAGTACTGCTATACGAGGTAAGTTCCGAAGGTAAGTTATTTGTTATTTTGGGGACGGGCATGACCCGTGATGCAGTCGCGACCCGCGATGCAGTCGTGAGCCAAAAAAGCAATAAATAGTGAGATGTGCATAAATTGTTGCAAATGTTGAAACAGAAAGGGCCAGAATTGTACGTGTACTCATAGTAAAAGTGCACTCGGGTACAGAACACAAAAGAAGGTTGCTGAAAGCGTTTTGCCGTTTTCCTGTGAGGTTATGAATTTTTTTCCAAAATACTTTTGCAATAAGGTACAGAGTTGCACCAAGAATGTTGACCTGAACATTAATTGTGTGCTGGGGGGATGTGAATAGGCCTACGTTGAAGCCAAGAATACGGTCTTTGAAGTATTTGTACGTAGTCTTTGCATTTTAAATAATTCGCGATCCCAAAAAGGAAGATAATAACCTTTTATAGTTTGTTAAATGGAAAGGATCCAGTTGGGGCTACTGAGGTTTGTAAGTTTGGCAAGATTTTCAGAGGTTTTCTCAACTCATAAAAACATGAGTATTACTAATTGTGCAATGTAATAATTATGTACAAGCCAGTATGCAAGGACGGCTGTAGCCGGTATAGGCTGTGCAGCTGGAACTAAGCTGATTTTGAGGTCTTCAAATTAGTGCCGCGACCAAATCAGACAAAAAAATCTGTTTGTGCATATTCCGATAATGCTTGAATACAAAACCAAAAGCTTTTTTTTCCTCTTCACTGGAATAAGATAACTACGTTTGTGAGAATACCTGAGCCTTCACAGCTACAGTAATTCCCACTATTAGGCCTACCCTGGGTGGGGATGTTGGCAGATTTTGTGAAGTGCCAAAGACCCAAGTGTATTTCCATTTGATTTTTCATACATCACTTTGAACTTGTATGAATTTTGTTTACCAGTATCTTTAAAGATACAAACATGAAACTTGCCTGGTTCTTCTCTCGTGTTGATTTTTAATTGGTTTGCACCTTATTTCTGTCACAGTTTCATTGAAATAGATCTTTGCATGGTATTGTTACAAGAATTGATCTTTTGGCTTCTGACACCGTGAAAAGATATGGTTTTGCTTTTTGCCATGTGTCTAGTGTATCCTGGTGACATACATGTATTTCCTGATAGTCTCGTAATTGCGTTGAACAAAATGTTGCTGTATACATTTCACATTTTGTGATGGCAATTGTTAGAAAACATTGATAATGACAATTTGACCCAGTAGAAAACCAAGTTGCATCTGAATCATTGGAAAGAGTTCCGTATATAGACAACACTTGATGCCCTTGTGCACAAACCTTATGAGACTTGTCTGAAAAACCTATGTTTTTCAAAGGAAATGTTTCAGAATTTTTCCCAGCAAAATTTCATTGTTTAGGACATCTTATCACTTTCTGGTGGGTGTTATGATATTTTAAGGGTAAATAAGTGTTGTCTGTATATGGAACTCTTTCCCTTGCATTCACTGCCAAAACATCGGCTTCACCGAACCGTGCATTTTCTTTCAAGCCATATCCCTTGTATTGTGCACGGTAAAACAGAAATTTAGAAAAAGTTGCTTCCAACAATATTTTGGGTTTGGATAATATTTGGACATTGAGTGAGTTTGGGTTATCTTATAAATTTGGGGACCATTTTTCATGTGTTATTACATTTGACATCAATTTGAAAAAAGGTTTAGAACATATTTTAAAATTTGTAAGCGATTAAGTGATGCAAATTGCCCTCCAAACAAATAAAAACAGTTTGAAATGGGTGTCAATGATTTGTCAATATCAAAATCACAGGTCAGGTGTAGCAGGGACACAAATGTCACACTTTTGGACTCTGAATTTACAGAGCAACCTGTTTCCGAAACTACTTTCTGAAAAAAAACTCAATTTCAGATCTTTAAAAAAATTGCTGTCACTTTCATAAAGCAAATGAAATTCCAAGACTAAAATTTAAAACAAGATGATTTCCCTCTTTAAAATGGGATGGGAAAAAACTTATTTGTTGGGATTTCCATTTTATGTACAAAAGACAAAATTCTGAATCCAGCAAGCGTATGCATAATTTCAATGGTCCCCAGGGGTTAGGATTTTAAACTTTATTGTTGAGGAAAGTATATCTACCTGATATATAACCTGAGTTGGAAAAAAGTGAGTAGTACTTATTACAGAAACTGGGAAACTGTCTTCATTTGTTGTTCCTTTGCGACATAAAAATATTTGATACTAAACAGTTATTTTGTTGGGTAGAACAACACCACGCAGGGGTTTGATAATTCAGTGCAGAATTTCGTGTAATTTTTGGGGTCTTTGATGCTTTTAAGAATAATTTGACACATTTCCACAACTTCTTGGATAAAACGATAAATGCGCACCTGTAAACTTTGTTATCTTATCAATAAGATGGCATTCTGGGTGTCACCAAGGTTTTTACCCGTACCTTTTTTATGAGGGGATTTGGGGGCGGGCGGGTAAAGCACTCATCAACAATGAATCTGTAAACAGTAACCATTAACTATGAAAGGGGGTCAATTTCTTTTTTTTTAAAGCAACTTGGCGATTTTCATCTCTTTAATTTAACCCTAACAGTCCCAAATCCTCCAATTTCAATACGATTTTACATACACCCTAGGGGGTCAGAGTTAATTTTTTTTTACTTTTGTCAACATCTTTTTTTCCGTTTTCCTCCCATATTGTAGGGGAAGCCCCATTGCCCATCCCAGTTATGCCTATCCATTCTATTTATCTAATTGATATGCAAGTGGATAAACTGTTTAATTAGCTTATCACTGCTAACACGTCTGCATTTTTGTTGGCATCAAACTGTTCAGCAAAATAGTTAGTAAAATTTGTAGCACTCAAATGATTTATTATGTTGCAGAAATTGCTACTGCCTTCAACCACCCCTCCAGGGTGTGTGCTAAATTAATTTGAAATTGGAGGATTCAAGACTGTTGGGGTCAGTTGTCAAACTGCTTTTAAACTGGAACATTAGCAAATTATGTTGAAAAGCTCTCCCTTTTTGGATGTTTAAAATATACTTAACCCGTCAGACATTTAGTGCAAAAATCAGTTTCCTGATGCCTTTTCCAGCCAAGATTTTACCTGGCAGAATAGTCAAACTTTATTTTGAAGTACATGACCCCTGGCTCCAACAGTTTGCTGCAGTATTGCTACTTGCACTACATGTAAATGTTTGTGTATGTGTACTCTTTAAATCGGAGTGAAAAAGGGATGATGTAATAGAGGGAAAATTACTCTGAACTTGGATCTATAAATGGTTGGAAAAACTCCTTTCAATGGAGACTTCAGTAGAAGCTCAATCTGTTTGATTAAATTTCACTCAAATTTGTTTTGTGTGTAGTTTCAATCACAGGGAGTGAATTTCCCCTGAAATGGAGTAAAATTTTCACTTCTTGGAATTTAAAGAGTATACAAAATGTAGTCCCTATGCAATTTTTGATTTGGGGATTTGGGGTTGGGTTTATTTTACTTTATTTGCCATTCTTGGACATTTGTGTGAACCTACTCTTACGGGCATGCATTAAAAAGAAACCATGTTTGTTGAGGTCCAGATGTTATGACATCATATGGTTGTAATCTTGAATCCACTACGAGAGACTGAAATTCCCTCTGTTGCTTAAGACTTTCAGGAGACGGTGTCTTTTGTGGAAAGCAGAATGCTCAGACGTGGTCAGCTCTTTTGAGAGCGTGTCATGGAGAGGTTATAACAGGTCAACTACTGATCCTATCAAGATGGTAGACGGTGCACTTGTGTTTCTGATATCTAACTTCATCTAGAACTTACGAAAGAGTAAAGTAACTTTCCAGCATCCAGAAACCTGTGAGAGGTCATCACAGGGGCATCTCCACCGGTAGCAAATGGAGACCTGATAACATCTGCCATGATAACATCTCTCCACCGATAGGAAAGGATGGCCTGAGACAGTTCATTACTGATGTCACTCCATAGTGTCAAATGGAAACCTTGAGACAGTTTGCCACTGTCACTCCAGCCACTAGCAAATGGAGACTAATGACACTTCTACATCATGCCTATCTCCAGTCAGTAGTAAATGGAGATCTCAGATAGTTCTTCGCTGATGTTGTTCCTGCTACTAGCAAACGCAGACCTGTGATGATCGTTGCTGTGCTGTCTCCGGTCACATGTGGAAATGTGAGACGGTTCATCACTGACGTCACTCCAGCCGCTAGCAAATGGAGACCTTTTCTTGATTGTCACCATGCCATCTCTCCAGCCGCATGTGGAGCTGTGAGACAGTTCTTCACTGACATCACTCAAGCCATTGGCAAATGGAGACCTGGGACAATTCATCACCATGACATCTCTCCAAGCAGTGGCAAATGGAGACTTTTGGCAGTTTGTTGATCACTCCCAAAAAGCAGATCGGAATCCTGTGACATCTCCTTCTAGCCGTAAATGGAGACCTGTGACTTTTCATTACCACGACATCTCCTTCCCATTACCAAATGTCCATCCAACCTCTCCACCTGGCAGTACCTCTTGGAAACCCATGGCAGTTTGTCAGAAATCATCATCACAGTAACTTCTCTCATCCAAGTACCAAAATTGATTTTAGTTTAGCCATGTGACTATGAAAAAAGCAAGAAGCCCGACCTCTTAAACTGGTTTCTTTTTCTTGTGCAATTGTATTGGCATACAGAAGTGTGCAGCCATATGAGTGGGTTTCATTAACAGTTCAACCCTGAAAAAGTCGTGTCTTAGAAACTGGATATAATTTGGGAATTATCTTTGTATAAGATTTTGAAGTAGATGCATGTTGTACGATAGATTTCTGGAAAGGCCTTACATCAGGGTGTTAGTTGGGAACTTTACCCTGCTGATGGATACAGTGTGACTGTTTCTTGACCTTATTTTCTTTGGGAGATGGGATAGGGTAATAGGACATATATTTCAGGAAAATGTTCATATATAATAATATCAGTGCTAATAGAGTGTTTAATACTATAAAGTCTCTATGGTGCTGTATTATATTTCTAAGAGTAAAATTAATATACAAAGTGCACTGCTAAAAATGCTTGACAGAAATTCTTATTTTGAGACCACATTTTCTTGGCCGTTTCTAAATGTAAGAAAAAAATTTCAAGAAAACTTTTCTTGTTTCATCCCCTTGAGAATTTTTCTTGAAAGTGAAGCAAAAACATTGGTCTGAGGATGAGATGCCTTTGTATCATTTATAGCAATGTGAGATCAACATGCTTTTACTGATATCATTTGTTATGCAATCAAGCAGACTGATTCTTTTTTTTTGCTCTGGTCAATTTTTCTTTATACATTTGAAAGAAACAATGCCAGTTTTATTGCTATGAAAATTCTGTGTTGATACAAGCCTTGGTTCACAAGTTGTGGTAGTTTAGACAGAAAAAAGTGTCCATGGTAAAAATAATCCAACAAATGACACATTTTGCTTAATTGCATCATATTTGTTTTTGACATTGAAGTACTGAATCCTCCAATTTTAGTGTAGTTTTTCACACCCTAGAAGGTTAAAAGCTCATTTTTTGGTATTTTGTCTTTTATTTACAAATTTTGAAACAGATATTTTAGAAGGTTTGAAAATTCTTTTGAACATTAATTTTCTATTGTAGGGATTTAAGGGCTATTCATTTTTTCATCATTTTTGTGGGTGTACAAAACCATACACCTAGGGAGTGTATGTTTTTCAAAAATGTTAAAAATGTTGTGCTTAGCACAGACATCATCATGGTTTTTCTTTTCTAGTTTATACTTTCTTGGAAGGGGAGAGGTCCAAAAAGAGTCCTCTTTATGTGCGCACGAAAATGATGAAAGAATGAATGTCCCTCAGGTACATGCATTTAAACATGTAAACTGCCCAATCTCAGGAATACATGCATATTCTTCATTGTGGTTTCATTGAACAAGACCAGGCTGTTAGGTGCATTTCTGTCCATTTTTAATTTTTGGTAAGGGATTTAAGTACATTTTTCTGATTTCAATCAAATGTCTGGATTTTTGTCGGTGCATGTAGTCCTTCAGATTTTTTTTTTTATAGTGAAACAACATAAATTGATCTTTAAAATGAGATGGGCGTGGGTATGATTCCAACTTTTTTGGAGGAGAGGTTGTCTCGACTTGTGGTATTTAGATACTTGTGTACAAAACATTCAGCTTTTCTTAATGTTGGCTTCAAACTTTGTAAGGGATTTAGGTAGATGCATGTCATATGCTGTATCCCTGGAATGGCCTCACATCAGGGTGTCAGCTGGGAACAAGACCTGACTGGCGGATACAGTTTTGATGCGTCTTTATACCTATTTTTGTTGGGAAGGGATTGATGCAAATTTGTTGATGTGATTTAATGCCAGTATCAAAGTGAAAACTGTTGACATGCCTGTTTTTGTAATTTAAGCCGTTCCTCAATTTTACTGAGTTACGGAATGGGATGTAGTTGATGTGAAAATCATTTCTAGTCTTTCATATTTCTATTGATCCAGTTGAAATTTTGTATGCGCATGGCAAAAAGCAAAAGTCATTTTAATCCTCAGTGGCATTCAGAGGAATAACCTGTGTATGGACTTCAGGTCTTTAGCAGCATCGCATGATGTGTGACAGAAATACACTTCCATCTACAAGTTCTAAATCTGTAAATCACTTGAGAGGAACATTTCTCTTCGTGTTACTACTGTTTTGCATGGCATGATTGATCAGGTATCCATTTCAAATGCATGAAGTTGCTCTGAGAAAGAGAACTTTAGTCCCTCTAAATTCAACAGATTTGACTGTTTTCAAAATGCTATTGACCCATCTGCCTGTAGCACCTTGACACATGTAACGAAACCAATTTTCATATTGCTTCATATTCACTGTACCTGCATATTGTTTTCCAAACTGACATTCTAACCTTCTTCAGCTGGATCCAAGTGTTATTTCAAGTGACAAAATAATGGCCCTTAATATCGTGGATTAATTGAATCATTTTATACTGAAGCCGCGATTCCTACAAGGCAGGGTACAGGAACAGATGTCGAAATTTTTGATCAACCACATTTGTTGTTTAGACGAATAAGTGAAAGAGACTGGAGCAAGTGTTCAATACATGTGTCATTCTTTCCATGCATGATGAATACTTCATATCACTGAAGTTGCTTTGCTCTAAAACAGCAAATGTGACCTCCCAAATATTCCATGAAGAACACAAATAATCAGCGAGCTTATTTGCTTGGAAATAAAAACTTAAGATGTGTTAGCACGCTTATTTTCACCTGTGCTCTGTGACATCCTCTGAAGCACTTTTGCGCAGACGTTTTGTGAGCACAGGCTGATTGAAACTTTCAAAACAGTAAGATGAAGGCTTGTTCCCGTACCCTGCCTAAAAATAAAGTAGTACTTCAAGAAACTCACTGTTTTCTCTCTATCTCTGCTTGACTTCAGAAACTTGATTTTGGACAGCAGCAAACATCTGAGTGAAGTGCAATACAAAGGGGCCTGAGATGTCACCAATAACATCCAAGATGGCACCACTGATGTCCAAGAGATCGGCTGCCTAGAGATTGACTGGATGGATACATTTTGGCTAAGGGCAAATCCATGGCAACGGCTTTGGGCATTTCTCAGTGCATTTTCAACAATCAGTTAATGTCTGAAGTATTGGTATTTAAGTCAAACAGTCTAAAGGGAGTTTCTTCATACTTTTCATGATGTACCCCGACTCCCTCGTGTGTGTGTGTGTATTCAGGAGATCACAGGATTTAGCCTTCTCTTGGTAAGTTCCAGCAGGGAATAAATTGACCCAGTTGGTACAAAGCTCAGAAAAATACGAGGGTTTTAAATTGCAATCGATTTATGTTAAATGCATCAGTGTGGGTTTATACCATCCACTTCAATTCAGTCACTGATGGAATGTATTTGTTGCCATGGATTTGCTTGTAATATGGACTGTTTTACGCTTGGAGTAGGTTTGGAGCCAGGCACATGTACATGGACTTTCACGCAAAGAAAGCTGTAAATTTTCCACCTTTCTGTCATTGACTAAAAGGCACAGTCATTTACGTACATGCAGCCTTCCATCTCCAGTTACTTGGCAGGATCAACTTTTTTGGACAAATACATGTATTGGAGTAAAAAAAAAAAATAACCTGATAATCAGGACAAGCACCTCACGTTAATGCTGTCATGTGCCTGGTTCAGTTCTTTTTTTATCTGAAAAATAGTTTTTGGATGCTCTGCGAACAGTGTTTTACTGTGTATAAATGTATCTACACCAGCACATCAAACTACAAGTTCTTATTTGCTTTTTAGGCTGGAACTATAGATTGAAATGGAATCGTTGACATTGTGCATGAAACACGTATATCACTTCTGTTGCATTTAGGTACCTGCTTGATTAGGTTATTGGAATGTCATAGCCTTTCTTAATGGAAATGTGACATCAAAATCATCTGAAATTAGGAGTTATCTTTTGCGGTTAATAAAACGTCATTAGCAAAATGTTTTTCTGTGAATGTATAACAGATGAATACTTTGAATCAAATGTCTTAAATTGGTTCTTTTTAAGACAGCACTTTGAGATGAGGCTCTACTTTGTGAATGATTTGTTTTTGGTGATACATTAAGCTCTTCTTTATGTCAAAAACCTTATGCCAGACTTATCGGCAAATTTCTATAAGTTACTGTCTTGTGGGTCTTCAGTATGGACTTAGTTTCAGCGAGTTTGAAATGAACAAAATCCAATGATTAGTTGTTTTGTTAATAAGGTATGATGTGCTGGTGTAGAGTTTCTTTGTATTGATTGCTGAATTAAATTGTTTTCTTGTGTGTGTGCTGTGTGTTCACTTGGTCTGCTGCCTTTTTTACAAGTATGCAATGGACTTTAAAAGTGCACGCACAAAAACCAGAAATAAAACAAGCACTGCAGATGGTACTGAGAACAAGTTATAAATTAGCTTCAATTGAAAAAATATCTTTTTCACAAACCCAAATTCAGCCCTCTGTTATCTTTCAGCACTTGTTTTTTTATATGAACTTTTGCAAACATTTACATTGTAAAAAAGGCAGCAGGCTCATTGTCTATTTGCATAAAGGGTGGGGTAGGGTGAGAAGTTTGTGTCCAGCTGTAAATGCGCACTGCACCAAGGGTTGTATGGAATTGTCATTTTCGCGAGTGTGCAGACAAGCATTGTCGGGGAAAAAAGGTCAAAAGTTTTCTTTTCAGTGCTTTTTTTTGGTTGGGGCTTTTTTCTATTTGTCTTCTCTTTTTGGCTATCAAACAAGAAGTGTTTTGTACACTCGCAAAATTGATAAACCCAAAACTGAAGGTTTTTGTAATTGATGCGTGTAGTTTTAAATGATCAGCATGTTGAAAGAGCGCCCTCAATTTCATTTCAGTCTTGGCGCAGTGTACATGTTGGAACTTCCTATATATGGAGATCTGACAAAGTTGTTTTGTTTCCAATGTATTTATTACTATTTGAATAAAAGTATGAACTTGAACTTGGTATTGAACTTGAACTTGGTACTGAACTTGAACTTGGCATTGAACTTGAAAAGAGTGACCAAAAAAAAAGCACCCTAGCGCATACAAGTCCCCCCTGGTGTGGGCCGCGTGTTCCCCGCCCACAGACACCAACAGGTCCAGTGAGTTGCCCACTGCATTAACTCGTGATCAGTTGTTCTTGATGTGTACAAACTCCCCTGATCGTAAATGCCCAAGTTGACTGCAACATGGTAAGGATCGCATTAACTCCGACAACCAGTTTACTTTCTACGCAGCAGATGTTAATGTATTTCAACAACTCCACAACAATTGCAAATAAAGGAACACTCTCACACTTACGTGCAACTGCCTCGCTTGGATATTGTCTGAATGTTCACTGTTACATTGCAGGATTTGATGTGAATCAAATGAAGCATTTCACGAAATGGTTACTTTCTGCGAGTGTTCTCAGATGCATTTTGATGTTCGTTAGACTTCAAGGCTAGAAATGCTGGCCCCAAACTGTGGATAAACTTCCATAGTTTAAACTCCTAAAACCAAGCCATTTGTTAGACAATATGTCCCATCAGTGAGTGCTGCTTAGGGGAGTCTTATAGACTTCGCGATACAATTTCTATATACATGTATGCTAGTCTGTTTAGATTCCGTCACCTATCCATGCAACTTTTGTATTTTAAATGGAAATGTATGACCCTATTTGCAGTGTCACAAGCTGCACTTATGAGGCCAAATGGGAATGAAAGTAACTGTGAGATGTTAAAAAATCTCAAAAGTTTCCCAAGAAAGTGTTTGTTTCTGAATGCTGCAACTGCAGACGGCGATAAACTGCATCAAAATAAATACTATCTTTTATGTCGAACATGAATTTTTTTCACCTGAACAGAGAGTTTTGGTTAAAGACAACACATTTTACTTTTTGTTATGCGCTTCCTATAATAAGTGAATTTGAGAAGTTCTGATTAGGAACTAGACTGACCAGTCAAAAGAGTAAGAAAACAGTGCCACCACAAAAAAAAATGCATTGTCTCAGTGCTCGGCAATTAAGTTTCAGATTTATAAATGTGCCATAAATGCACAAGGAATAAATCATATGGTTCGCCAACATTAACACTTTTTGAACTGAGTTTTTCACTTGTAGCTGTTTCCTTTGTTAGACTGTTTCGGGCTCTTTTGATTTCCAAATTACAGCTGAAGTGTTTATCAGAATGCTGTAGCTGCAAACTAAATTGTGATGATCCAATGACACATGTATTATTCAAAACTCTTCACAACAGAACGTTTAACGCTTCACGTTTTCCAGCGGTTACTTGCCACGTCACCACAAACCGGGTGCAAGGGGAGTACAGAGACTCGGAATCTGCACAACACAACTGCCAAACTCTTGAGAAGCTCAAGAGAAGCACATTTTGCTCAAAACCAAATATGCCAACAATGGCAAACATGTATTTGTTTAGAATCCTGCATTTGCGTGCTTGCAACATGACTGCACAACAATCCACAGTTGTTTTTCCCTTTCACGATTTGCACAGTGTTTTTTCTGCTGAAGTCCAAACGTATGTGCTCTTGTGAATACCCACGTTGCTCGGTGACCAGGTGGACGATGTGGTAGCAATCTGCCTGTTGGTATCTGTAGAAACTATGGCATCTGGCAACACAGGGTTGGCCTGTCCCGTACTCCATGCTAAATTTAATTGAAGTTTTCATTAATTCATGCACTTTTACATGCACAATTACATCCTCATGTGTTGTTCTAATAAACCCTTACAATCTCATGGCAGTTTGGTGTACACTGGTCTACATAATCACAGATATTGCCCATTCTCACATGCTCACCTAAACAGGGTCCAGAAAAATCCACAATTGCCTCTAGAAGCTGATGTGAAGTGGATTTTATGACATCAACAGTTTAATGTTAAGTTACAATTTGACCTCAACTTGGTCATTCAGCCGTAACTAGTTCAGAAACCTGCATTTTCAAACCAAACAAGTAACCTGGTTTGAGCACAGCTAATTACAGTTTGCCAACAAGTTGAGAAACCAACAAGACTGCGGTGTTGAATTCACTGTACCTGTCCCGTTGGGGCAGTTATTGGTACATGATTGTGCTTCAGAGTCTTGCCAAGATGAGGCTAGGGAAAGGAATTTTGCACAGATTGTGCGACTGACTCTGAAGAGTCGGTATGTTGGCATTTGGCTGCAATTTGAAAGTGCAGTGATACATCTGGCCCCTTTCAAAAGTAGTCATCTGCAAGAAATAACGGCATCTGCAAGAGGCCAAGTCGGCAGTGAAGACTGTTCTCAAGGCTGTCAAATGACTTTTGAGGGAATCAATTGTAAACTGATGGACAGATGATTAGGCCTATCTACAGGATGTGTGCGATATGCAGACAAGTGATTTCTGGGCAATCACCAGAACTAGATAGCATACTGTTTTAGTTTTAAATTGCTCTTTTTGAAGTAAAACATACATTTTCTGGAGTTTTCCAACACGTTTTCTGTCTCAATGGCAGTATAAGAAGAAATGCAGTCTTTTCATGGCTCTTTTTGCACATAATGAGACTGAAGGAGTGCACACAAAGACGAAATGCGAGAGAAGGTGCACATACCATACATGTACTTGAATGGATGCCAAATTCACAAACTTTTTTTTTTTTCATTTTAGACGTACAAGCCTATCTGTTAAATGTCAGCAACTGTGGATTTTTCTGGAGCCTGCTTAGTAATTTGACTTTTGACAATGATCTCAATTCCTGTAAAGTGCTTTTTTATCAGTGAAAACACCAAACCATCCTGTTTTAAAAACAGGGAACAGCAAGAGAGGAAACCTCAAAAACCTGACCTCGATAAATTACAAATTTTGCAAACCCTTCAAGACCAAATAAATTCGCTAATCTATGATAAGCATTTTTCAACAACCATACAAGTATTTAGCGTCTTTCAAAACACATTTTAGCCGAGAATTTTTTGACAAAATTCTCTTCAAGAGAAAACTTATTTTTTGTCATACATACTGTACACGTACATTAAAACACTTATGTGCTCTGAAATATTCATTAAAAAAAGTCTCAGAGAAGGACGACCTGCTGTTTTATTTCTGCATCCTGCAATTGCTGCAATGAATTATTGGTAACAATTTTGTATTCAACCATGCCATACACAAAGACCACTCTCTAAAGAAAGTAACCTCTGACAAGTCATCTTTTTTGAAAGTTGCACATTTTGGCAAGTTCTGACCAAATATTTTGAGGGATTACCCCAGTAGAGTGAATCCTGTCCACTGTTACTGTTCTTCACTTCAAACCTTATCTTGTGGCCTACACTTTTTATTTCAGTTGTTGGTAATTCAGTTCAGTCAACACGTGTAATGCTTTGCAACAAGACTAACTAGTGGAGCCAACATGCTGATGTCAAGATCAAAGCTGCCTAACTTAGTCGACTGTAAAAGAATCTATTCCTTATCCAATAATCAAAATCCTACCCACAATCTAATGCTAATGTACCCTAATGCAGCCGATTTCACAAAACGTGGCGTAACTTTGAACCCTGCGTAAGCCTTGGGGCACAAACTTATGCCCTAGCTGCGCAATATGCTTAAATTTGATGTCATGAAAAGTTGCATAGATGCGCCACGTTTTAATAGTATTCAATTTCTCGGACAAGGACAAAAACGGCTTTTACAATGGCTGTTCTTTTCCAATATAACAGCAGTCATCAAACAGTTGTCGAATCACATCCGTCTGCCATTTTAAAAGAGTTTTCGTCTTTTCTTCCTCGGAACTGGACAAAAAGTTTCAAAGTTTTCTCACAGCCAAACAAGGCTATTATGATCTTCTAGAACAAAGTTGTCCGTTTCTCGTATAATCCTTCATAAGTTCAGCAGTGATGAGGCTTAACCGGACCAGATAAGCGAGTCAAATCATTCCACTCGCTTCGTTTGACACAACTCACGCCACCTAAAATGACTGCCTAATTTACACCATAATTTGTTGTGTAAGTCACGGACTTACACAGTATGTACGTTTCCTGAAATCGGTCTTAATTTGTTGCACAACTTACACAATAAAACGTGGTACATGGTGCATTTGATGCATGGAGTGTGATAGTCTTCAGTCCAAGGCAATACCAAGTAGTTACTAGTTTTATTTTAGCTGTTAACTGTCCCCAGCTCAATTCTTCAGTTTAATTCCCAAAAATTACGATGCCAACAGCAGCATTTCAAGGTTTCACAAAGAAAAACAATGAAATGCCTAGTTGGTAATGAATATTTTGAGGTTTAACAAAATTCCACGAAGTAGCAATCATGACTGATACTTTATCTACTAATCTCTCAGAGGGTTTTTGATTGTAAACTTTTTGATTGCAAATTAAGACAGAAATCTTCTTAGTTCAGAACAATCGGTAGAAATCAGGGACACAGGGTGTCAACTAAAACTGCATGTCCCATCCAACTGCTTAAAAAAAAATTGCTGGCACACCTTTTAACTGTATTAATAGCACATATTCCATTTTAAGAATGCAGTCTGAAACATGCCCTCTACAGTAACTGTAGACATGAGACTCCTTAGTTCCTACGGAGTCATGAGCGTAGTACACACTGTGGCAGGTTTAGATCTTCCATCTGTGCTTGGGTACAGGAAGACCTAATGGTTGAAGTAGGGATTCTAACGGCATGACAGCCACAAGCTCATGTGCCCTAGACTCAAGCTTGCGATCAATCAAGAAGAATCCTGCACTAACTGAAGTAATGTCTTTTAAGCAGCAGGTTTTTTTTAAATTCCTTCTATTCAAGATTCACGCAACCACAATAATTACGATACGAAATGTTGAGAAACCGACAAACATTAGGACAATATGACTTTTAATCTCGGTTGAAGCAAAAAGTGTCCTTCCTGAAAGATCCACTTTAAAATAGGGAAGCATTTAACTTGATCAAGGCATTGACCAGGCCGTGTCTGTATTCAAATTTATAGATTGAAATTTTGATGGAAGAACATCGTTGGCCTAGTGACTGAGAGGAAAGAACAGAAGAGTGGTTGTCCAACTGGATGGAGTTGACAAAGGACCGCCATTTAGAAAAAAGTATTTTCCGTTTTTGAAATTTGGGCCAATAAAAATGTGGATTCTGCACTTCAAATTCGAAGTACCTCAGCTGGGATGCACCCAGGCCTCTGAGGCCCTCTTCTTCCTATGCTGCTCAAGAGTACGTTTACACTTGCTTTTGACAATTTGAAAGGTCTGCTTGCTTTACAGCAGAAGCAAGATCCCCTTTGGCATGAGGCCATGTGACACTGACCAATCAGGTATCATCAATGCAGGGCTCTACCCACAAGATGAATATCTTTGAAGACCATCACTGCAATTCTCCAGGACCGGCCAGTAATGGGACTAACTTATAAACCCAACCTCTCTGACAGGAGGCTTGTGTGTCTACATGTAGCTACTATGAAATTGCTTCAGACGTCACTGATAGCACCACTTGCAGCACACAGACTGGACAGTCTCTGGGTGTTTGACCTTTCAGGCCCAATCCAGTCACAACCACTTAAGGAACTGACTCATCAATATAACTCCTAACTGGACAAAATGCATGCTGTAATATATTTACATGTCACATTTGCATTGGCACATTTCAACTGTCAACGTGGGAGCAAACTGGCTATATTAGACCACAAATTATTTGCTAACTTTCCAGCATCAGTTTTAATGCCTTGTCAATGCCTTGATCAAGTGTACTGGTATTGCCGTAGACTGAAGACTATCTGTGCAATACTGTGTTTGTCTATGCAGCCAGCGTACCACTCCTAGCCATGAGATGTACCTTGGGTTTATCAAGCAACACATGAGGATGTCTACACAGTGCATGAATTAATACCACAAACTTCAATTAAACTTACCATGGAACTTGTTCACAGGACTGGCCCCCTGTGTCCGATGCCACAGTTTCTGTGAAGGATACCAACAGGCAGCTTGCCACCTCATCCCCAGAGCCATTCACTCCACATTGAGGGAGGGGTTAAACACTTGTCCCTTTCTTTGTGCCTCATTTTGCTTTTTTTCATTTCCCCCTAATTTCTCAAGGACATTTTCAACGGGATCTGTGTACAGATTTTCTAGTCTCCAGATGGAGGCAGGACTGGGGAATTCAAAACCTTCCACTCGAATGAACAGTGACTTCAAATGTGATAAATGATTGTCTTTGGACAAAATGTACCATAGACGGTTGACATTTAGTTGCCGATTTCACGTGGTCACTTTGAATTTGTTAAATTCTGAAAAACAAATCCCTTTTCTGTCTGCACAAACCACATGCTTCACTTTGTCCATGGAGGGATAAAACGGAATTACTTGAAAGACTCCACTTTTATTTTTTGTACCTTTTCCTACATGTAAGTTCCCTTTTCTCAAAATCTCAAGTTTATGAAAAACTGGGGACAAGTGTGCAGACCCCTTCCCCCACCATCAGAGTGAATGGCCTGGGTACATCATCCACCAAGCAGTCCAGCAACATGGTTCTTCCTCCCTGGCACACCAGGACTTTTCAAGGGCAGTTTCAAGAGTTTGGCTCCCCTGCTTGGTCCCAGTTCTTTTCTTAGCTGTGTGGGCTCCTGTAGACAGTGCTACGTAGTTATTCAACAGACCACATAACTTTGAACAGACCACATCAGAAAATTTCTGCAAATTTTACAGTGCCAAGACTGAGACAATGAAATGGTTGTCAGTGAAATTGTTTGCAGTTTCAAAAATGATCTGAGTTTCATTTTTCCTTCTATTCATGATATCAGCTGATTTTTTGATTTACGGCAAAACAGTCTAGGTGCACCAGAGAAAGCTCCTCAAGTTGAATGTGTTGGAAGTTCTGAATATTGACTTCAAGTTTTTTTACCTGAAAATTAATATTTTTGCATGCTAGCAACACTTTTACTTTTCCTTCTCTAGTTTTGAAAATTTTTACGTACAAGTATCTTGATGCAGCTTATCACTTTCAACAGTTTCAAATGGTAGTCAACAGAGGTAAACTTTGTTTTTTGTCAGACTAAGTACAGCACGGAAACTGATAACGGAACTTTTCAAAACAACAAATGGCATGGTAGTTTCGGAGTTAACGCAACGGAAGTTACCTACAAACGGGCCAACAAACTGCCTTGAATCAGCAAACATTCAAAATCATATGAGAACACCAACAAAAAGTATCCACACGTAAATGCTCCACTCAATTCGATCAAAAACTGCTATGTAACGGAACTTCTTCAATACCAAGTGAGCAATTTCACGGTAGATGCAAGAAGCGTTCCCTACCTGCAATGCTAGGAGTGCTGAATACATGCATCCGTTTTGTAGAAAGATAAACTGATCATCAAAGTTAACGGGATCCTTACCACGTTGCTGCCAACCCCAGCATTTCATGATCCGAGAGTTGTAACACATCTTGAACAAACCGATCACAAGTTATGCAGCAGGG